GATAACTTTCTAATTTATGTATGGATTCTCTTAGTTCTATGAACTTTCCTCTTAAGTTCTATCTGAATTTGTTCTTTCCCATAAGTTTGGGTATGTTTTTCCTTCATTTTCATTGAATTCTATAAATTCTTTAATTTCTTTCTGTATTTCTTCCCTGACCCAGAGATCATTGAATACAGAGTTTTTTCAGTTGACATGTGTGTAGGCTGTCTGTTTTTACTGAAGTCCGATTTTAATACTTGATGGTTTGATGAGCTACTAGACATAATTTTGCTTTTCTTGTATCTGTTGAGGTTTGCATTGTGATTGAGTATATGGTCAGTTTGGGAGAAGGTGCTATGAGGTGGTGAGATGGAGGTATATTCTTTTAGTTTGAGTTAAGTATTTTGAACACATCTACTATGTCCATTTGATTCATAATATAAGTTAATTTCATAATTTCTCCATTTAATTTTTGTCTGGATGATCTGATGATTGATGATAGTCATGTGTTAAATTCTTTTTTTTATTGGATGTTTTATTTACATTTCCTATGTTGTCCCCTTACCCCATCCCCCACCCACCCCGGAACCCCCAATCCCCTCACTCCTCCTCCTTCTTCTCTGTGGATGAACCTCTATCTACTCCCCCAAACTCCCACCTCCCCACCCTCAAAATTCCCACCCCCTGGGGCATCCAGCCTTCATGAGGTCAAGGTTCTCTTCTTCCACCTATTCCCAGCAGGGCCCTCCACTCTTACATATTCAGTTGATGCCCTGGATCCCCCCCAAGTGCTCCCAAGCTGGTGGTTTAGACCCTGGGAGCTGTGGTTGGTTGGTATTATTGTTCTCCTCATGGTACCGCAAATCCTTTCAGCTCCTTCAGTCTTCACTCTAACTCCTCTATTGAGAAACCCATGATCAGTTCAATGGCTAGTTGTGAGCATCTGCCTCTGAATATGTCAGACTCTTGAAGACCTCTGAGGAGACATCCATATCAGGCTCTTATCAGCATGCACTTCCTGACTTCCACATCAGCATCTACCTTTGGTGACTGCACATGGGATGGATACTCAGGTGGAAAGGTCTTCAGATGGCCCCTCCTTCAGTTTTTGTCCCTCGCTTTGTCTCCATATTTGCTCCCTTGAGTATTTTGTTGCTCCTTCTAAGAAGGACCGAATCACCCCCACTTGGTCTTCCTTCTTTATGGACTTCATGTGGCCTGTGAGTTGCATCTTGGGCATTTCAAGGTTCTGGGCTAATATCCAATAATCAATGAGTGAATACCATGTGTGTTCTTTTGTGATTGGCTTACCTCACTCAGGATGATAATTTCTAGTTCCATCCATTTACCTAGGAACCTCTCGAATTCATTGTTTTTAATAGCTGAGTAATACTCCATTGTGTAAATATACCACATTTTTTGAATCCATTCCTCAGTTGAAGGACATCTGGGTTCTTTCCAGCTCCTGGCTATTATAAATAAGGCTGCTATGAACATAGTTGAGCATATGTCCTTATTATATGTTCGAGCATCTTCTGGGTATATGCCTAGGAGTGGTATAGCTGGATCCTCGGGTAATGCTATGTCCAATTTTCTGAGGAACCGCCAGACTGATTTCCAAAGTGGTTGCACCATCTTGCAGTCCCACCAACAATGGAGGAGTGTTCCTCTTTCTCCACACCCTCACCAGCATCTACTATCACCTGAGTTCTTAATCTTACACATTCTTAATGTGTAAGGTTTGATGTGAAATTTACATTTTAGCAGTATTTGTTTTACAAATGTAGATGTCTTTGTGTTTGGAGCATAGATGTTCAGAATTGAGATATCTTTGTAAATTTTTTCATTAATGACTATGAAGGTCCTTCCCTATCACTTTTGATTAATTATCAGTTGATAGTAATTTTATTACACATCTGAATTCCTACTCCAATTCTCTTCTTGTGTCTGCTTGTTTGGAAAACTATGTTTCCATACTTTTATTCCGATATAATATGTGTCTTTATTGCTGAGTTGTGATTCTTGTATGCAACAACCTGATGGAATTGGTGTTTGTATCCATTATGTTATCCTGTGCATTTTGGGGGGGAATTAAGTCCATTGATGTTGAGAGATATTAATGTTCAGTGAATGTTAATTCCTGTCATTTTGGTGTTGGTGTTTTATTGAGTATGTGCCCACACACCCGGGTGCTTCCCTTGTTTTATTTTTTTCTTATACAGAATTACTTATTATTGTATGTTCTTGGTGTAGTTATTTTTCTTGTGTTGGAATTTTTCCTGTAATATTTTCTACCAGGCTTGATTTGTGGAGAGGTCTTGTTCAAGTTTGGACTTGCCTAGAAATATCTTTTTTTTTTTGTCCATCTATGGAGATTGAGAGTTTTCCTGGGTATTTTAGGTCGGCATTTGTAGGTTTTTAGAAGCTGCAAGATATCTGTCCAGATATCTTCTGGCTTTCAGTGTCTCAGTTGTGAAGTCTAAAGTAATTTTGATAGGTTTGTCTATGTATGTTACCTGGATTTTTCTCCTTGCACCTATTAAAATCATCTCTTTTTTTTTTCTGTAGATTTTGTGCTTTTTTTTGGTTGGAGGATTTCCTTTAGTGTTCCAGTATAATTGGTATTCTGTAAGCTTCTTCTATCTTTATAGTCATGTGTTTGTAAAGTTTGGGAAAGTTTTCTTCCAAAATTTTGGAAAATGTTTTCTGGTCTTTAGAGCTGGGACTCTTCAAATTCCATTCTTAGTTTTTTAGGTTAGGTCTTTTCATTCTATCTTAACCTTGGATATTTTTTGTTTGGAGTTTTTCAAATTTAACAATCTATTTGACAAGTGTATCAATATTTTCTATTGTATCTTTTACACCTGAGAATTTTTCATCCCTTTTATTCTATTTTGTAGATGATGCCTGAGTCTCTTGTTCCTGTTATCTTTCTAGTTTTTTTTGTTTTTTGTTTTAATTTTTTATCTCTAGGATTCCCTCAGTTTGTGTTTTACATATTACTTGTACTTCCCTTTTCAGGTCTTGAACAGTTCTATTTATTTTCTTCAACCATTCAATTGCATTTTCCTGTATTTCTTTAAGGGATTTAGTCTTTCTCTCTTTCAAGGCATCTATCTGCTTGATTGTATTTTCCTATATTTCTTCAAAGAATTTATTCATTTCACTTTTAAAGTCCCTCCTCACCTGTAGAAGATTGGATTTGAGGGCATTTTCTTGTTCTTTGTTTATATTAGGATATGCAAGGCTTGCTCTAATACAACAGCCATGCTGCATAGGTGTCATGTTGCCCTGGGTTTTGTTTATTTGTTGGTTTATTTGTTTGTTTGTTTTGTTCTTATGCTGGCCAGTAACCATCTGGTTGTTTCTGGATATTCATTTTGTAGTCAGTACTAGGAAGTGGGCTAACATCTATGATCCTTATGTTGGAGGCCTCTGATGGGTATCTTTGGAATGAACAATAGAACTCAATGGACAGTGCAAGTCTCCCAACAGATGGTTGAGCCATGGTATGGTTCTGGACCAGTAGTTACGAATTTGGGCAGAGAGTTGTCAGCTCTGTGTAGCTGACATGTACCAGATATCTGGCAGGTAGGGGAAATGAGTGCAGAAAGGAAATCTAATCTCTATGATTCTGGATCAGCAGGTCTGATGAAGGTGGGTGAAGAGTGGCTGGACAAAGTTGACTGTAGCATTGGTTCAATAATTTACTTTCATCAGCAAGGAAGCAAGGATGGTAATGTAGTAAAGACAGTTACAATCTTGTCTTAGTTTGAATTTCATTGTCTTGAAAAGACACCATAACAAAGTCCAGTCTTATTAAAAAATATATTTATTTGAGGCTGGCTTAAAGTTTCAGAGGTTCAGTCTAATATTATGGAGGGAAGCATGACAGCATTCAGGTATACATAATGCTGGAAGATTCAAGATTCTACATCTTGATTGAAAGCAGCCAGGAACAGTCATTCTTTGCACTGGAATCCAGGACGTATCTCTATTCTGTACTGGGCTGAGCTTGAGCATAGAACCTCAGATCACACCTTTACAGTAATGCACTACCTACAACAAGCCACAGGTATTCCAACAAGGCCACACATCCTAATATTGTCACATGCTATAGGACAACATACTGAAATCAACCATAAAACTCATTAATACCATGTACATGTTCTTGGTCAAAAGTCCTTAAGGATTAGAATCTTTAAATGTTGGTACTGAATATTTTAGGTCCAGCCACATCTTCAAGGCAGCCATAACTTCTGTGTTTCTCTGACTTGAATCCCACAAAGTGCTCTAGACAGGGAGTCTGACTGAGTCTCTCCCCTGTCAGAGTCTCAAGAATTGTTTGGTTCTTCAAGTCTTTTTCTTGGTCTTTGTATGGAATCATGTCTGCCCTGTGTGATGCTGTGCATTTTTTGTTCAAGTTCCAGGTTATCCTATATTTAAAAGTCATCTATAATGAGCATGCTTATGTAAGCGTCTAATTGAGGTTCTTACAACACAAGCACAAGTGTCTGTGTTTAGTTCTCCATAACTAAACATTTGGTGCATTTGGTAGCCATGGCAAGATCCAGGCCCAGAGATGGACTGCATGTAAAAGTTATTGTGTAGATTTATAGAAGAAATCATCTTATCTCAACATGTACACACTCATACACACACTCACAGACACTCAATCACTCACACTCACCCACTGAGAGCGACATAATGAAAGAGACAGAGAGAGAGAGAGAGATGGGAAGAAAGAGGCAGAGAGACATAAATAGAATGATAAAGAGGCAGATAGGTAAACAGACAGTCCTACAGAGAGAAACAGAGCCATTATAATAAATACATGAATACAAAATACACATTAAACTGGAAAACTGAAATTTGAAAAAAAAAACCATTTGTACACTTCATGGGTTACTACACACTGTAATTGTAGAGAGAATCATGTATGGAGGCAGCCTAGACACAAAAGAGTCCCATACTCTATTTCCTCCAGCTCTTTCTACATAGGCGATAACTGCCAGTAACTAGGAGCTTTGTGTGCTCTCTGCGCCCTCTCCTGGTCCCAAGTGCTTTGCAGGAGGTTTCTGTTTGAGTTCACAGTAATATTCACTCATTGTGCCTCTTGCACAGTAATATATGGCCGTGTCCTCAGACCTCAGATTGCTCATTTGCAGGTGTAGGGCATTTTTTGCATTGTCTCTGGAGATTGTGAATCGGCCTTTCAAGGTGTCTGGATAGTAGGTGTTATCACCATTCCAATTAATGGTTGCCACCCACTCCAGCCCCTTCTTTGGAGCCTGGCGGATCCATGCCATCCCATAGTCATCAAAAGTGAATCCCGAAGCTGCACATGAGAGTTTCAGGGACACTCCAGGCTGCACTAAGCCTCCCCCAGACTCCACCAGCTGCACATCACACTGTACCCCTGCAAACAGAGAATGCTGGTTAGAAAACTGTCACTAACAAAACAAAATGAAAAAACAAAGCAAATTTTCTATTTCTCATATATACACAAGAGACAGAATCTAATCTGTATGAATTACCTCTTGACATAAGGACAAGGAAAATCAAGCTGAGCTTGAAGTCCATGGCAAGTGCTGTGTTAGTGCTGGTCAATGAATGTGAGAACCTGGGAATCCAGGGCTGAGCTCCCTTGTCTGAGCTGTAGTTTCAGAGCAGAGCTGGTTTTCATGGGCACTGAGAAGCCTTATTTGCATGTTTTCCTGCTGTAGCATGCTCTAGAGTTGGACTTGGGCGGAAGGCAGTGCTTACAGCAGATATAAGACATCAAAGACACAGACGTCAGTTACAGAATTTGACACAGTATCATATTTTCACATTTTTGTTTTGGTTAAGATTTCATCATACTTCATTTAGTTCACTTCTATACATGTGCATAGAGCATACTTTTTTATATACTTTCATGTGTCCTATTATGAACATGTAATTAAATAGAACCATGCATAATTGTGTTTCTAGGTATGAGCTTTGTCTTTCCCACTGTCTGGGCTGCTCATGCAAGTTTCCTAATGTGGCTTTTGGACAGGACCTTTAAAGGTACAGTAACAGAACTCACTCATATTAAGGAGTTCTTTAAAATTAACTTATTCATTAGAGAATCCTGTCCTCAGGCTTTATAGATGCTTGCACCTGAGACATCCCTTGTCCCTGTCTGTATACCACTCGGAGTCTATGTAGCCATATTTCTCTTTGAGACATATTTGGTTGTTTTTCAACCTGAACTTTTCTCCTTTTATTTCTTTTATGTCCTCCACCATTTTCTTTTTGTATCTTTATACCAGGTATCTATCTTTATACCAGGTAACTATCTTTATGTTGTGTAAGGCTAGTTTTCTTTTTTTATTTTATTGGATATTTTATTTATTTACATTACAGATGTCATGCCCTTCTCCATTTTTCCTCCCTCGAACCCCCTATCCCACCTACTCCTCCTTTATGCTTTCATATCATTTTAGTTACATGCATGTATTAAGGTCAGTTCTAGTTTGAGGGTCTAGCAATATAATAGATGCAAATAGTCAAGAAACAAGCAATACAAAAAACACAAATAGTCAAAGAACAAGCAAGGCATTAAACCCAATTAAGTGAACACTCCCATGACCAGTGTTTCTAAGGGCTTATCAGGATGACCAAAGTATCTGAGCCAACTTCCCTGTCCTAGCCCAAGGTCATTTTCATGTCTGAACCCAACTTCCTTGTTCTAGCCTAAAATTCAGATTCCTGATGGAAATTACTTCTTTGTTCTAGCCTAATATTTAGGTTCCTTCCTGAGATTACTTCTATGTTTTAGACTAAGATTTAGATTCCTACCCGAAATTACTTCTTTGTTCTAGCTGAATGCTAGATTCCTGCATGAAACCTACTTCCTTGACCATGGTCAATGTCATATTCCTGTTAAGCAGCCCATTTTCTTGCCCTTGGCCCATGTCAGATTATTGCCAAGCAGCTCCAAAGACTCTCCACCCATTCCCCTTTTGTATTTCATTAACAAGACTGAGCCTGTCTTAGGTCATTCTGACAAGAATGCCTTCCTTACCCATCATGGAATAATCATTATCAAAGCAAGGCACTTATGTCTCTGTGCAGAATCTTACCCATCCTTTGCTTGTCAGCCTGTTAATTTAATAACTCACAAATAAGGCTAGTTTTCATTTTCCACAATTAATATAATTAGTATAACCAGGGCATTTAATTAAATTTTAGGATACCATTTTTCTATTTAACTTCTTCTCTGCTTTCTGTCCTCCTATTTTTTACCCTCACTTTTGACTTCACATGACCAATATACCCTTGTCCTTGGGTTTCCCTGTCCCACACTTAAGATGTGTCTTCTTCCTAGGGTTCTAGTTCCATATGCTACAAAATATAATTCAGAACTGCAGATACAATGAAGACTCTTAATATGACAGAAACAGGCAGTGTTTGTTCTTCAACACCTTAGTTATATTGCTTGAGGTAACATTTTCCAGTTCCATTTAAATTCTTAAAAGGCTCAGAGAACATAGAGTAAGAGGATATGGAGAGTGTAATATGTGAAACTTGGAGTAGAGCACTGTGAATTAATGTCTTGTGGACAGGACATGCCTATTGCATTCATCGACTCATGATAGCTGTGGTCTGTGCAAGCCCCACTTGAGACCAAAACAATCGTAACCTAGTATGGACATTGTAAGTATTCTCCAGGCCTTGCCTCTTAAGAAGGAGTGGTTGGATATAGATATTTCCTAGAGAGGACCACATCTCCGAAAATGTGGTCACTGGTAGATTTTCTATGTTGCAGTGCTTGCCTCCACACACATGCACATATGGGCAGAATTTCTGGAATGTAAATGTCATGAGGTTGAGAGAGGTTGAGTTGGCAAAGATATGGGGGATGTTGAAGGGGAAAATTGGGTAGAGATGTGGTCATATTAAACATATACATGTGGAGTATACAATTCTTCAATATTGAGAAAAATAGTGCCTACTGGATGGCTGAATGATGAATGGCTGATGTCTTTAAACAAGACAGTAAATCCCTAGAGAAAATGTGCAGGAATATGCTGCAAAATATGATATGAGTAGATACATAAGGTAACCCTCAGTAAAAGGAATGGTAATGGAGGTTTTCTTTTAAAAATTTTACTACACTGTATTTCAAGGTACACTTTGGAGCAATGATATTAGAACCAACATGGCAGCTGTACATACACAGACATGATGAGAAAGAGAAGTCTGAGAAAGGAAGTACAAAGACCTGAGTTGGTAGATAATGTTTGCAGGCATGCCAAAGGAACAATAATGATTAGCAATGTCAATTCATGGTTTCCTTTAGGCAACTCAGAGCATCTGTCAGGTAGTCAGCAGGGCATTGGGGCATTTCATATGTGGATGAACCAGTGAAAGAGGTGTAGTTAATAGTTGGGTTCATGGCTTGTTTTGGAGAACTGAACAGGGAACAGCAGGAAGTCCCAATTTACTTCTTGAACTTTCTAGCTACACTGGACAACTGAAGGGTCCCTGGGAGATAGTGTTGTGGATGAGGTAGGGAATATTGGGGCTGTTGCATGTGAGGCTATGTGAGAAAACTTAGAGGACAAAAAGATAATGTCCAAGGTCATTTATTATGTTGTTGCTTGGCTTAGTGGTATAAGTTAAGGCCCTTTTACAGTTTCTGTGTGTGATGTGGGGATTACTAAATGAAATGGGATCAGAAGCAGAAATAGAAGACGGTGGATGGACAGTGAACAGGGACTTGGGGATCTCCTATTGGTAAGGGTGCTGTAGAGGAGCAGCTGTGTGGACTAGGTCTTACAGGAGTTGGGACAGTTGTAGGATTTACGGTTGGGAAGGTGACAACTACATAACTTTTTATTTTAAATGCATGTGTTAAAAACATAATTATTCAAGACAGTACGGTACAAAGATTTTGCATATCATGTATTCCCTACCAATGAAGACACAGGCCTTTGGAAAGCAAAGGTAAGAGCAATCAATCCATCTTGAAAAAAATATATATATTCATTTTACGTTTCAACAACAGTCCCCCTTTTTCCCCTTTTCCCAATCTCATCCTTAGAAATCCCTCCCCATATTTTTCTCTCCCATTCTCCTCTGATAAGGGGAGAGGCCCTGGGTGTCACTCATTCTTGGGTTGCCTTGACTCTTCAGGAATAGGCACATTCTCTCCTATGTAGGCTCAACCAGGTAATTCAGGTAGGGGGAAAGAAATGACAGCACCTGTGTCACTTGTTATGGAATCCACATGAGGACAAAGCTGCATATTTGTTATAGATGTGTAGGTGGTCTTTGCCTGGCACCTGAATGCTCTCAGGCTGTGTAAGCTTCCATGGTTCCCAGATATTGGACTCTGTGGGTCTTTCTGTGTTGTTTTTGACCACCTCTCTCATGTTCACTTCTATCTCTAACTGTTCCACACGATTCCTTAGTCTCAGCCTTTGGTTTGGCCTTGCATCTGCCTCAATATACTGCTGGATGAAGCTTCTCAGGAGATAAGTTTGTTAATCTTGTAGGCAAGAGAAATTTTGGGATGAAGGTTTTGTGGGTTAATTAATATCTCCATTATTTCTTTTGGATGTCCTGCCAAGGTACAAAAAGTGGCCACTTCAGTCTCTATATCCCCCTCTGGTAGAAATCTCAGCTAGGGTCACCCTCTAAGGCTTCTCATGTACTTTTCTTTCTCAGGGTTCCAGTTAGTCACCAGAGATGCACCCTCCCCACCCATGCAGATTTCAATCTTCATTTCCATCCTTTTCTTGCCTCTACATCCCTACAACTTATTGCCATCACCAATCCTCAACTCTTCTCTTCTCCTACCAAGTTCTTTCTTTCCATCTACTTCTACTGAGTATTTAATTTCCCATTCGAGTGAGATTCATGTATCATTACTTGGGAATAACATAATAAACAGTTACTTGGGTATTTGGATTGTAGCATGATTGTCCTGCATGTTATGACTAGTGTACACTTATAAGTGAGTACATACTCTATGTGTCTTTCAGGTTTTGAGAATTCACCATGATAGTCTTTAGTTCCAATTATTTACCTGCAAAATTCATGATGTGTTTGTTTTTAATAGCTGAATAGTATTCCACTGTCAAGATGTTCCACATTTCTTACCTATTCTTCAGTGTAGGGACACCTATGTTATTTCATGTTTCTGGGTATTATGAATAAAGCTGCTATGAAAATCATTGAGCAAGTGTCCCTTTTGTATAGTAGGTAGTCTTTTGGCTATATGCCCAGGAATGGTATAGCTTGGTCTTGAGGTAGAACTAGTCTCAGATTTTTGTGAAACCTCCAAATGTATTTTGAGAGAGGTTGTACTAGTTTGCACTTCTATCAGCAAAGGGGGAGTCTTCCCCTTGCTCCAAATCCTCGTTATCTTGTGCTCACTTGGGCTTTTGATCTTCGCAATTGGGTTACATGTAAGATGGAAAGTTAGGGTGTTTTGATTTGAATTTTCTGGATAATTAAGGATGTTGAACACCTCTTTTAAAGATCCTTGGACGTTTCAGATTCCTGAATTGAGAATTCTGTTTAGCTCTTGGTCTAACTGAAGTCCTTAAGAATTAGATTATCTTTATTGTAGGTCTGAATATTTAGGTACAACTCAGTTTTTTATGC